CGTGCATCCCTAATATATTTATAAGCTTTCAGAAAGCTGATGAATAAATACATTGATTTGATTAAATCTTAAATAATACACAATAAATAGATAAGTAAATGAATCAAAGTTTAGACTAATTTAAAGACTGTAGAATTGTTAAATCAGTCTCTACAGAAATTCTTAATCAGCCATTATTTATATTAAAAGAAAAATGATCGAACGAAGCATTCTGAGCAGATTTCCTGTCCTCCAAACCTTTTTATTAGCGGACTGTGAGGACCTTAGCATGGACTCTGCTCAGTCTGCCGGGTGTTACAGAGGGGGGGGAGTGGGAGCATCGGTGGAGGTTTTATTCAAGGTCGGGTTGACGTTTTGCATCTCTGTTTCTGTTCCAACGTCTCAAACCAGCAGCTGAATCAGGAGCAGTTTTTCTTTCACATGAAGGAAAATGATATAATAGAAGAGAAATAAAAAGCCTCTTCTACGCTCTAACTGTTTGTTTTCCTCTTAAAGAACCTGAGCAGAAGTCTAGATTGTGGTCCAGCGATCGGCGGAGCAGACGAGCAGCTCTAATGAGGTGAACTCCGTCTCTCTCTGTGAATCTAAACAGACCTGATCAGCTCTAGCTGCTCAGACTCCTCAACCTTCAGACGTGCCTCGCCATGCAAATAACCAGCCGGCCCCGGCGGAAACAAACAAGGAGGCCACTGTGAGGCTCTGAGGGAGCAGATCAAACTGTGCAGGAGTCTGCCGCTGCCGCCGCCGCCGCCGCTGCAGAGCTCGGTCTGAAGCAGCCTCCCTGCTCCTCTTTCATCCTCGCCTCACTCTCCTTTCTTCCCTGTAAGAAATATGGCCTTCCCCACTGTGACAGCTCACAGATGGCAGTGGCAGAGCATCGCAGATGGTCCGATCTGCAGCACAACCCCCCCCACACACACCCCCCTTCCGATCGGCGCCACACAGATGGTTCAGTCCGCCTCCCATGTTTCAAACCAGGGGGCCGTCGCAAAAAACCCGTCAGAGCTTCCTCTCAGGAAGGCATTAGAGGAAACCAGCGAGGCGGAGTGGACACACCTGCTGATGGACAGGTCCAGCAAAGACAGGAGCCTCAGTAACTCAGGGGGGGGGTTCAGGAACGCCATACTCACAGATGATGTAGTAGTCCTTCCCCTTGAAGAACTCCAGCCCCCACAGGTTGGGGCTGAACTCCTGAAACTTCAGGGTGAATTTCACATCCTGGTCGGGCTTCACGCAGTTCAGCAGCGGCGTGTCGGCCTTGGTGATGGTGCAGCTCTCCAGCTGCTCCCTGGGCACCATGTAAACCTTGTAATACTCCACGCCGTCGGGCACCCCGCCGTCCACCCGGGGGCACACAATGTCCAGCTTGTCCCCGATTTGCGGGTATAAAACCACGCCTTGGCCTGGAACAAATCTGGAAGGAGAGAAAGGAGAGGAATGTGAGAAAAAATAAAAATCTGATGGCGACTCATTCATTATGCATCAGGGACGGAGAGCGCGCTACTGAGCCGCTCAATACTCGCAAAAACAGAGGAGCCGCTTTAATTATTAATGCGCTAATTACTAATGGTGTCCATTAATTTTAGATGATGGCGCACCACCACGTCTGAACCCAAAAAA